TGCTAGAGAAGCAGGCCAGTAACTAAGCAGTTGCTGACTGAAATAGCAGTAGATTAGGGCATAGCTACTATGTGGAAATTAAAACAATACTTCAGCATCTGTGGAGGAAACTAAGTGTCAAGGCCAGCCATTTACCCAGATGGGGATATGGGCAGAGCAAGCTAGAGAATCCACTCAGTCTGAGACATTGTAACTAGCATTCTTCCCACCAGCCTGGTCCCAGAGCCACATCAACCCCTAATAACACACAGAGACTCTATTAGTTACAATACTGTCAGCAATGTCTTAACTATTAACCCATAACTATATATATATATGGTTGTATCCTACCAAGGATGACAGCTTCATGCCTCCTCTCTTCCCGGGATCACATGGTGACCCTCTACTCTTAACTACATTCCCCAGACTCCTCCTTGACTCTTAGTCCCACATATCTTGCTTCCCTATTGGTCAACAGCACTTTATTTATCAACCAATAAGACAAACATATACACAGAAGGCCTTCCCCCATCATCTCCTCTTTTCTGTCTAAATAAAAAGAAATGTTTGTGTTGTCTTTCAGTTGTTCAATTGCTAAGGGAGATATAACAACTGCTAAAATATACTTGATTATAAATGCTGCTGAATTAATCCAACTCATATATTTTAAAAATGCTTTGACTTCAAAATTTAAGTCTAAGGACAGGTTACTTTGGAAAAGAGGCTTTCTTTTTGTTTCCACACAAAATGAAAAACTGTGAATTCCTTCCAGACTTATATGGTTTGATGAAGCAAGACCCCCTGAAGCAGTGGCCTAGGTGATCCAACATCCCAAAACAGTTGAAATTATGCAGTTACAGACCACTATAGCCAGGATTTCTGGGTCTTTTAAGGACCCCAAGACAGCACCCCCAAACAGCAGGAAGTAGTTTGGAAAGAACGACACCCACATTCCCAAATATTGTTTATAAATGCTTGTTTTCATTTATACAGGGTTGGCCATATATGGTAATGATCATAGTCGATCTCTTTCTAAAGGGAAAAAAGGAAATATAATATAGAAATGAATACTTTGTATTGGTATGATTTTCATTTATTGTTACAAATTTAAGGTCAATTTTATGATATGTATATTTCTCCTTTTGTTTAAGTATTATGTTTATACTGATATTTTAAAATGTAATGCATAATTAAATACAGATTGTATATAGTCACCTATAATAGTCAGAACTTATAGTTAGATTAGTTAGGTTTTCTAGATATAGAGAGATACATTTGAGATGGATAGATATTCTTCAAACCTTTCAAAGACCTCCAGAAAATGGCATTTAAAATGGTTTAGGGTTTTTCTTAACAATGAGAAATGTCTGTTCCTGGCAGCACCAATCTACGTCGGAGAAGATTATTGGCATTGAAGAAACCCATCATGGAGTTTACTTTCAATATGGCAAAACCAGCCATTTGGGTAAGAAACTGCTCTTGCTTGGACTGTTTGACTGTTGCTGTGTAAACTTGACATGCAGGACCCACAGGAAAGTGACTACTAAACTTGCAAAACAAGATGGACAGTCTTGTTACCTTGTTTTTGCTTTTTTTTTTTTTTTTGGTCTTTTTGTTATTTTGTCTTTTTTTTCCAGAGCACCGAACCCAGGGCCTTGCGCTTGGAGTTGGGGATTTAGCTCAGTGGTAGATGGACAGTCCTGAAGGGTTCATACTTCATGGAAGAGTCTGCCAGACATTCTGCAGGACACAGAAAAATGACTGGGAAACTGCCAATGCAGATACACAATATAATATTTCCTGCTTCACAGAGAAGTCTGACAGTCTATGGACTGAAGATGGATGCCCCAACATTTCCAAAGAGCTTTGGGTGACTGTCCAGGTAGCCAGATGTCTCTGTCAATTCTAGTGTTTATATACTATCCTTCTGTGGTCTTTGATGGAGTTGAAGACAGATAGTTATAGTTTTCCTTGGTTATGATAAAAGATAAGCTACATATAAGACTTAAGACTCACACAGATAGGATAGAATACTTTCTTTAAATCGTGCTAATGGACTAAATACTGTAACTATAGTTCTTACTTGATAACTGTTTTGTTATATATTTTACTATGTTAAAGTTAAAACCCTTCTTCTTTAGACAGAAAAGAGGAGATGATGGAATGGTCTTCTGTGTATATTGGTTGATGAATAAAGCACTGTTGGCAAATAGGAAAGCAATATAGGTGGGACTAGGAGAGGTGGAGGATTCTGGGAAACAGAGGCACAGTCATTCCCCATGTAGGACGTGAGAGGAGTAAGAGGTCTGCACCCTTTCTCCGGTAAGAGAAGACCACATGGAAATACTCAGATTAGCAGTTATGGGTTAATAATTAAGTCAGAGCTAGCCAACAAGAAATGACCAACAGCTTCATAATTAACACAGCATCCTGTGTGTTCCTTTGGGACTGACGTGGCTCTGGGACCAGGCTGGCGGGAAGCATGCTCGTTATTAGACATGCTACTTGGGAAAGCTTGTGGTCTATCCTGGTAGAGGTGGCCAGGAATCTTCTGGCGATCTGGGCCAGGTGCACGAGAGAGGTCTGGAAAATAGAAGATAGGAGCAGTCAGAATCTAGGAGTAGGAGAGTAGAGGAACTATGGGTGTGGCTAAGAGTCCCAGGGACCGTCCTAAAAGAGCACTTCTCAACAAGGCACACATTGGGAGCACTGCTCCCTGGAAGACTTTCCCAGGGTATACACCTCCCACCTACAATTCCAGTGAGCACTGGAACTCTGCTTGGTGAGGAAGCCAGCAGTTAGAGAGCACTGATGTACTGTTGCTCTTGTCAGTGCGGCAAAACGCCTGGCAAAAGCAATTTAAGGAAGAGTAGTCCGGCTTGGTGGCCCACGTCTTTAATCCCAGCACTCAGGAGGCAGCAGTAGATAGACCTCTGAGTTTGAGGCCAACCTGGCCTACAAAGTGAATTCCAGGAATCAGGGCTGCACAGAAAAACACTGTCTCAAAAAAAATGCTGTTTCTTCTAGCTCATAATCCTGATGTCTATTCCATTATGATAGGGAAAGCATGACAGCCAGGACATAGCTCTGTTACATCTTGGTGACTCCAGTAGCAGAGAGGAGGGCTGAAAGCGGGTCAGGGCTATAACCCTCAAGGCCTGCTCCCCAGCTGCCTGCCAGCTAGGTCTGATGTCCAGAAGAATTCTACAACCTGCCCAAACAGTGCCACCAGCTGGAGATCAAGTTTGCACAACACAAGCCCATGGGTGACATTTCACATCCAAACCGTAACAGCTTGTCAGGAAAAGAAAAAAAAAACCAAAAAACATTCAAATTAAGGAGCAAAACAAGAGCCCACGATGGGAGTCAAATGAATTAGAGACCTCAGAGACACAAGAGAGTGAGGTGCCCTGTTAGCCAGTGGCTCTCACTGTTAGTGTGCAAAGGCAGCCTGGGAAAAACCCATGCTTCTGCCTCTCTCCATCACAGGAGACCCCAGAGCCTGCATTGCAAAGAGATCTATAGGTAGGCGTTACTTCTGTGATGGAGAATTGTGTGAAGATTCTTGTGGTTGGTGCTGCCAGCAGGGAAGATGGGTCCCTGGGAAACAAAGACTAAGAAGGTCTATCAATTTCTGCTTCTCAAAAGGTCACTGGTAACCACGAGAGAGGAAATTTCAGTGGCACTGTGGGAGTGGAAGCCAGATTGCAGTGGGCGGGAGAACGAATGGGAGGTGAGAAAGAGAAGATGTAAACACGGACCCCTTTCGGGAGACAGAAGTGAGAGCGTCATCCCCCTCAAAGGCTGCCCTCCGTCTCCTGGGGAAAGTTGAAAAACAGGATTAAGGAAATTAGGAGGCTGAATAAGACTTTCCACAGACCCTCAGAACTTTTCAGGGAGACAAGCTGGGAGCTGGCACAAGCAGCTGAACTCACACCGCTGAGTCTCAAACCAAACCGGGTGTGTCTGTTTTCAGTCTACACACCCAGATTAGGGTTAGCCCACTGCCCCAGATCAGAACTTCCCAGCAACGACTGTGCTCCATTATCACCTCACACCAGGAGGCATTACGTCTCAAACCTCTCCATCTATCTGCACTACACTGGCCCTGCACCCAGGCCTCTAAGAGCCACTGGCTACTCCCCAATAACGTATTGTCCCACTCTCCTTAGCCTTCTGGTCATCTTGGGCTCTGCTCACTTAGGTGCCTCACTTAGAAGAGCCGGTACCCTGCCCAGCCTCTGCTACAGAAGTGTGTGGAATAAAAGATTCCGTATCCATTTCTTCTCGTGGCTCTCTTCCTGCTGGACTGTGGCTTCCCCGGAATCACCAGCTTCCAGCCAGGGTCGAGCCGGCTAGTGGAGCTTCACTAATGAGTACATGTTAAGCATGGAGAAAATGATTAAATTATGGGGTACCCACTCTTCTCTTCACCTTCCCCTCACCCAGCTGCGTTAACACTCTGCATCTGATGGTACAAGTGTCTCTTAGTCCCTAGGGCAAAGCGACTCTGGAGGATGGGCACAAAGGAAAGAGGACTCGGGCTCCTTGTCCGGGCTTACTCCTTGATTCTCTCCTTCAGTCTCTCAAATTCTACACATCGGTTCAGATGGGATAACGGATGATGCTACAGGAAACCACTGTGTTGAGAATCAGTGGGAAAGTCCCTGTAAAACCATTACATAAATTCTGATTGATGTTATCAGGTTCTTGAGGTCCTTGTAAAATAGAAGACCAGAGTCACAATACCAACAAACTTCATCTGTCATTTCCAATGATGAAAACTCACAGGGCAATACAGCTTCCCGAAGTTTGTTTCTGTCCAAAGACTACTTCAGCCTGTCCGCGGACGCTCCCGGCATACTTAAGACGACTATAAGCGAAGCCCCGCCTCCACTGTCTCTAAGCCACGCCCCTTGCGTAAGCGCCGGCCTCCTAGGCTCCGGAATCAATTGGCACTTCTCTACACCAATAATAAGTGACATTTCTGTCAACGTCCGGTCAGGGGACGGGACTTCCGTGCTGGTTGCTAAGACACTCTTGCTCGCTCCTTGACAACCCTGGCGGGGGTGCGCTGGCAGCGGCCTCAGCTCCGGGCCCCGCGGGAGCAGGTGAGGCCGCCGGAGTGCGGCGGGCAGCGCGGCGGGGTGAGTTGGCCCGGAGGGAGGACTGGAGGACGCGCGGGGCGGCCGAGGCCTGGCCCAGCGCGAGGCCCCACCTTGATCCCCAGCCCGCGGTTCCCGGCCCAGGACCTCCCCTTGTCCCACGTAGAGGACCGCGGAGCTAGACAGTGTGACCTCCCACCCGCACTGTGCAGGCCGCGCCTCCCTCCTCACCTGGCCCTGGCTAGCTCCGTGCCCTCACAGCCTCCCTGTTGTGACTCCCGCAGCGCCCTGTCCCCGCGCCACCCCCATGCTGTCTGGTGGTCCCAAACGCCTCGTCTCAGACCACTTGGTTTGGAGATTTGGCGACGTCCTGGGACTCTGAGCTGACTATTGCCCGTTGAGGGGCGGGGGGGGACTTAGTTTCCTCATCGATAAAGGCGAAATTGGGTTGAACGGTTTCAAAGGCCTCTCGGACTCGGACGTCCTAGGATGTTGTTCTTGGACTCATCAACCGTCAGCTCCCCGGAGGATGTGTTCTCCCTTCTTCCCTCCTTTTATGTAACGCAAAGAGCTTGGCAGACCCAAGTTGGATTCCCACTTGTAAGAATCCTGGCAAGTTACCTGAGATCTCCTTTGGCAATTGAAGTCCAAAGGGCCCAGTGCAGTGTAGATTCAGCACCCCCTAGCTTCTTTTTCTTCCTGTGTGTATATATGTTCCTGTGTGTACAGGTTCATGTGGAGGCCAGAGGTCAACATTTAGTGTCTTACTCAATCACTCTCCACCTTATATTCTTTTTTTCTTTTCTTTTTTGTTTTCAAGACGGTTTCCCTGTGTAACAGCTCTGACTGTCCTGGAACTCACTTTGTAAGCCAGGCTGGCCTTGAACTCACAGAGGTCCACCTGCCTATGCCTTCTCAGTGCTGGGATTAAAGGTGTGCGCCACCACCACTGCGGGAGCTCACTGTTGGGCTAGATGGCCAGTGATCTCCAAGGATCTCTCTAGCTGCCTCTCCAGTGCTGACATCATAGGCATGACTGCCACACCCAGCTTTTATGCGGGTGCTGGGGAGAGAACTCAGGCCTTCATGGTTTATAAACTGAGACGTGCCCCCAACCCCCTAATTTCGTTTCTATGCCTCTTAACTATCTCACACTTTCCCTCCTAGGAGGAACCCAGAGATGCTCTGTGGAACCCACTTAGTATCTGCTGTCTGCAGGTGAACCTTACACCTGCTCTCCGGTTTGATCTTTTCCCTGCTTTGTGGCTGGGGATTCTTGGCAGGGGTGAGGAAGCTGGAAGAGGTTGATATGGTGACGTGAGTGTTGGACTCATAGCTTCCCTTTTCCAACCACACATGACTCCGTCATCTCTACTCCAGATGTCTCCATTTGCATTTTGCCAGCTGCTGAAATCAAACTGGCCTGCTTCTCTACCTGCCCATCTGGCTTCCCCATGCTCTGCCAGGCCCATTCCACTGAGGACTGAGATATTAAATTGTCTTGATTCTGTCTCCATGGGGACATCACATCCTTTCCATTCCTGAGGCTGGGGGGGGGTGTGTTATTGCTGTAGCTTTCTAACTGCTGTCCCTGTCAACTCAAGTCACAAACCACTGTGCTACCAGCCTCCAAGAACGCTCCAAGAAGCTAGGCACAGTGGTGCATGCTTGCAGTCTCGTGCTTGAAAGGTATTAGCAGCAGTTACTCAGTGAGTTCAAGGCTAGCCTGTGTTATGTGAAAGCCTATCTCAAAAAGCAAAATCCACACTTTTTATGCCTGGGTTTTAGAGCCCTCTATATTTCCTTAACCCATCCCAGCCCCTTTTCTTCCTTCTCATCTGTGTTCTGCCACCAGTCCCAGGAAGTCTCGAACTCTCTCTTGAAACCACTGCATTGCCCCTCTGTGTGGAGAGTCTCCTCCCATGCCCCCCAGACTGGGTTCTCACTCCCAGTGCTGACCCCCAGGGTGGGTTCTCACTCCCAGTGCTGACCCCCAGGCTGCCCTTTACTCCGAGCTTCTCATGCCACCCCTCCCATCCGCCTCCCGGTTCTCTTCCTTTCTTTCTGGCACGGATCCTACCTCCTGGGCAGTGTTTGTATGTGCTGGAGACTCCACGGTAGCAGTGCTGCTTCTTGCTGAGTTAGAGTGGCGTTGTCAAAAGCATACTCCTGAAGTCCTGTGTACCTGGGGTGGATGGAAAATCACGTTGCTTTGCTCAGCCATGTGTTCATCAGTACAGGGAATAGTGCCTGTCTGACAGGTTTGGGAGCGTGGTGAATATTTGAATGTATGTAGAATTCCTCTCCTGGTCTCTGGGTGAAGATCAGTATTAAGTAAACATGTTTTTAATTTTTTTGTGTGTGTATACATGTTCATGTTTTGGAATACCTGTGTGTACATGCATATGAAGGCCAGAGATGGGTGACAGGTATTTTTCTCAGTCATGTCCCTCCCACCTTATTTATTTATGTGTGTTTTTAGACAGGCTCCCTCTTCAGACCTATAACTCACTTATTGGCTATACTGGCTGGGCAACAAGCCTAGGATTCTCCTGTCCCTGCCTCTCCAGCACCAGGGTTACAGGCACATAGCATCGCATCCAGCCACCTCTGGGTGAGAGAACCAGAGGGTGTGACATGCGCATGCACCCCCAGTGTGCCTGTGGAGGTCAAAGGGAAACTTGGGAGCTGTCTCTCTCCTTCCACATGGGTCCTGGGGATTGAACTGGGGTTACCAGGCTTGCAAAACAAGCACTTTTGCCCGTGGAGCCGTCTCCCCAGCTCCGCACCCAGCAGGCCACGCTGAGCCATCCCAGCTCGTGTTTAGTGTTACCGGATGGCTTTGAATTACATTTTGGATATCTTTTGGACTTCTGCCATGTGCCTGACACTGGACTGATCATTCTGAGACAGTAAAAGAGACGGAAGTCCCTGAGCTCCAGGGTGTATGGACTCACGACACATGGTGAAGTCATGATCACTTTTAAGGTGGTTTCCTAGGAAATGAATCAGTGCTGTGTGCAATTCAAGGCTGTGATAATGTCACCTTTAATCCCTTACATTCGAATTTGTTCTGCTGCGTGGAAGAAGTGGAGCCTGTGTAACCCATGCTGTAGGCAGCTGCCATCATGCTGAGCCCATGGCTACCATGGTTATGATTTTTTATTACTTGTCTATAATGAAAATGTTTGGGATCTCATCCAAATATGGATAAGTCCATGGGGGTGTACTGTGTGAATCACGGTCGTTAGCATGAGGTGTTGGACAAAGAAAATGTTGAGTCGCCTAGCTCAACGAGTCAACAGATGTCTCTTCTAATTCCACCTCTCCCTCCCCTTCCTTCCTTTCTCTTCCTCCTCCCTCTCCGTGATCAAAGCATAAAGAAGTTTCCACTGGGCCTCAGTGTAATTGAGAAAAAGTAAAGATGTTTTAAAACCAAACGCGACAGCTTGTGTATGTGTAGAAAGGTAACTTTTGTTTTTGATTTTTGTTTTTCGAGACAGGGTTTCAGTTGTCCTGGAACTCGCTCTGTAGACCAGGCTGTCCTGGAACTCATAGAGATCCTCCTGCCTCTGCCTCCCGAGTGCTGGGATTAAAAGTGAGCACCACCAACCCCCCCCCAGAAAAGGTAACTTTTTAAATTCTGCAGTAATCCCACCCCTCTTTACTGTCAGCTGCCTTTTGTTTACAGCAGATGCTGGCCTGCCTGCCTCCCTGCCTGCTTCCATCCCTCCTTCCTTCTGTTTTCCTTAAATAAAGGTTTAAGGAGTCTCATGCCAGCCAGCAGTGTTGGTGCACGCCTTTAATCCCAGGAAGCAGAGGCATTTGGATCACTATGAGTTAGTCTACAGAGTTGGTTCCAGCCAGTGCTACACAGAGAAACCTGGTCTTGGAAAACAAGGGTTGTGGGGAGCGAGGGAGGGAAGACAGGGTCTCACTCTGTTGCATTGTTTGGCTGGAAACCCATTATAGAGGCCAGGCTGACTTCTGAGTGCTAGGATTATAGGCATGTGCCACCACACCCAACTAGATGATGCATTTCTGATGCCCTTACAGTAAAATTGGAGAGTGGAGCTCTCTGCTCTGGCCTGGCCTTGGTAACCCAAGCCTTTGGGTGTAGACAGAAGTTTCTGTCCTACAAACCGTTCCCAAATAACCACACAGAGGCTTAATATTAATTATAAATGATTGGCCAATATCTCAGGTTTGTTATTATCTAACGCTTACATTTTCAGTGAGCCTATATTTTTATCTATGCTTTCCACATGGCTTGGTACCTTTTCTCAGTATGGCATGTCCATCTTGCTTCTCTCTGCGTCTACTCACTACCCCTCTGACTCTGCCCTTCTTTCTAGCAGTCTCTGTTTGGCTCTCCCCCTAACCTTATCCTGCCCTCCTATTGGGTAGTTAGCTTCTTTATTAAACCAGTCACAGCAACATACATTCGCATGGTGTTAAGGAAAATGTTCCATATTTGGGGATCCAGTTATCACCTGATCTCACTGCTGTGTTCCTGGACCCTTCTCCTCATCTTGTCAGCTCTGTTGTCATTTGTTTGCTAGCGGCAGAGGGTGGACTTGCCAGAAAAAGCAGTGACGTGATGACCAAGGTGCACGGTGCATGTCCCTGGTGTGTGTATGTGGGAGGCAGGAGAAAGGAGCCTCATTTTTACAAAACAGAGCGACTGTAGACATTTGTTGCTCAAGCATAATCTTGGTTGCCTAAAAGTTAAAGAATGTGTTTCTTTAATGTGTCGGATTTTCTCATGTTATTGATCATCAAGTTAATGATCTGCATAAAGAAATAAACAAAATCTCCAGTGACCTTTGAATGGCTATCTTAGTTCAGATGGCTTCCCCCTTTCCTTGGTCCTCTGTTAGCTATTCTAAAAATTCTCTTATGCTTGCCATAATAGACTAGCCATGCAGGCAATGCGTTCAACTGTGGCCTCTGTTACAAACACAATTTTCTCCTTAAAAACTAAAAAAGGAGGGCTGGAACATGCCTCAGAGGTTAAGAGCACTGACTGACTGCTCTTCCAGAGGACCTGGGTTCAATTCCCAGCACCCACGTGGCAGCTCACAACTGTCTGTAACTCCAGGATCCACCACCCTCACACAGACATACATGCAGGCAAAACACAAATGCATACAAAATAAAAATACATTATTTTTAAAATGGAGATGTAGGAGGCACAGAGGTCTTTGTGCTTCCAGATAAGCACAAGGGGAACCTGAAATGTTAAACACAAGATTGCTTCTTCAAAGGAAGGCTGCATAGTCTAGTATCCCATCCAGAAAAGCGGGGAACAGATGTGGCTAATAGCCTGGGACCTTTGTGGTATCTGTGTGCCTGAGGCCACACTAGATCCTCCCCGAGACCCTTACCATGAGCTTGTCAATCTACAGACCCATCTTGATGGAAGATGTCACATGCACTTTACAGAGAGTTTTGGTGTGGTCATGTCTTAAGCTTTATTGTGCACATGGGATTGAATTCACCAGGAGCATTTTCACCAAACTATGCTGCTGTTAACTATACCTAAAATAAACTACTCCAGGTCAGACTCTCGAAGTTTGAACCAACACCCACTACTTAGTCATATTGAACCAGACTACTTTCTTGCCTCCTGTAGACCATTACTCTGCTGGCCATGATGGTCACAGAGACCCCCGAATGGGTAGAGGCAGGAGGCAATAGGCAGGCTCAGATAGGTGACTGAGCTGGAAGATGCCAATATTGAAGTTATTTCTTCCAAGGGAAAAGCATGGTAAGGTCAGGAAGATGGATCTGTGCTCAGATCCTGGCTCTACAACTCTTGGGCCAGCTACCAAACCTTTCTGAGCACTGGGTGCCTAATTCTCCCTCTCCCCTGGGGTCCTCCTGCGAGTTGGAAGCCAGTTCACTAGGGAGCTCTTGTAGTGTTGGAATCATTGAAGCAACGGATATGAAGGTGAATGTAGAATGTAGCCATGGTCCCAACCCAGGTTTACTGATGTCTTCATGACTCTCTTCCTCCAGTGCTAGAGCCAAGGCTGACCCGAGGTAGGAATGGAGAAGTGACAGTGTGCTGGCCCAGGGCTGAATGCATGGCTGGCTCTTAGGAAGGAGGACAGGGAAGTTCCTCTCCCTGACACCCCAGAAATAGGTGCTGATCCTTACTGTGAGGAAAAGCCTGCTCAGCCCCCTTCCAATTCAAAGACGAGGCTTAGGGGCAGGAGTACTTGACAGAATCAGAACAGATGTGACTTCAGACCCACCTGCAGAGTCTGTCTTTAGAAACATCATGACACACTCCAAAAGGTCCTGCAGTCTCTTGGTTATATAGTAGGTTAGAAGCCTAAGGACCAAGAATGTTCCAAATGTATCAGCACGTAAGCACATGAACACACACAGGAGCATGCACACACATATTCATGCATATACACACATGCATGCATACACAGTTTGTAAATGCTTTTGGCTTTACTTCCCAGAGATCATGTATTTTCCCCAAAATCATCGGGTTGAACTTTGCTACCCTGACTGTGGCACACTTACATTATTAAAGTGTGGTCTGGTCTGATGGAGCCTCTCGTAGGCACATGCTCATTCACATGGGAGATTGATAAGGTTATTAAAGCCCTAGTTTGTGCTATTTTAGGTAGCATCCGTTCAGCAGGGTGAGCTAATCGTGGCTGAATGACTGGAGCTGCACCAGAACAGTACAGGGTCATAAAACTGTCTTCCCTTTCTGTGTGGGTGCCCACCTTCTCTAACAGTTCCTCATCCTCTGTAAGTCTTAACCTGTTTTGGGTTGCCAGGAGTATATACAGTGATTAGGGAAGCTATTGTGTTCATTGGTCTGTAGCATATTTGTTGAATAATGTTGGCTGAGTCCTGGCTGGAGGGATGATAGTCCAGAGCATCAGGAGCTACAGGGCACTGGTGATTCACACCACTCAGACAACAACACTTGTGTCAGCCTGCCAAGAACCAGAGCACCATCTCCAAGAAGAAGCCCAGGCCTGGCTGTGGCCCCTTGTTCATAGCTCCAAAGCCAAGGCAGGAGGCAGAACTCCATTGTCTTACAGAACCAACGTCTAGACCTTAATGCTTCATTGGTTTGTTGACTTGTATATCCATCTTGCAGTCTAGGGATCCAACTCATGCCTTGCACCAGCTAAGCAGGCGCTTTTTCTCTTAGCCACACCCGCAGCCCCTAGACATAAGTGTTCTGACTTGGCATCCTCCGCTCTGTGTTGCTGCTCCCTGGAACTAGCCTAGGGACTTTTCCACTCTGTTCCTGAAGAGTGGACTCTGGTAGCACCCGTGAAGTCCTGTGACCTTCCACAGATTCTGTTTTAAGGCTAATATAGATGGAATTGCCTTGCGGTTGGTGTGTACCGTGGGTTCTGTGTTCCCTCCTGTCCCCTGCCTGGATGCCTTTCTTAGCTCTGAGGATGAATCAATTTGAGTTGAGGCACTTAAGTGGAAGATGCTGGAGCAGCTGCTTCCACACTTCAAGTCGTTCCCACTTGGATTTCTCAAAGGTAAACAAAGTGGAAAGCCCTGGCACCCCCTACCATAGCGCCTTGATGGAGGTGGCTGAGGAGGCAATAGCAAGGATGTTACTAAAGTAGGAGCGTAGGATGGCTTAGGAGACAGGCTTTAACACTAGTGAGCGGAGATGAATGGCCCTTTGGATTTTGTGGAACAAGAAACCTGACCATAAAGTGCAGTGAGATTGTGCCTGGTAAACAGCCAGTGCATATGCAGAGACAAACAGAACCTGCTAAGACCCAAGTTGTACAAATGCCCAGAGTTAGAAGACAAGTGGAGCCATCTGTCCCCTGGGAAATCAGAAAACACCAGTGTCGTGGAATGGTGGAGTCCGTGCCAAGCTTGGAGTCTTGCTTGAGGATGCCCACCGATGGTGTGGCACTAAGGGTGGCACAGTGCAGCCTGGAAAGAGTACCCAGAAAGCTCAGTGCTCAGCCAAGCCAGATGCAGTCACCCTAGGACCACTGGCACTGGGAGTGGAGGTGGAGCCCTCCCATCACTGTCATGTGAGCCAAGTCAAATGTGCAGAAGAGCCCATGTGTGTGCATGAAGTGAGGGAGCAACTCTGGGGCAATGGCTCCCCTCACTCCTCAGGCGAGAGGTAGCAGCTCTCTGCCTCCACTCCCTGGCTCTAGCTTCTGCAGTCATCACCATGGAGCTCTGCATAAAGACTGAGTGCTGGGAACGGGGGCTGGTGCGTGGCGCTTAATCCACACCACCTCCTCTTACCCCCCCTCCCCTTGTTGGCAGGCACAGTGGCCTGTGCCTTTATTCCCAGCTATTTGCAGACTGAAGCAGGAGGGTCATTTGAGTCCACAAGTTCCAAACCAGCCTGAAAAACCACTGTCTCAAAATATATATACCTCTTGGTTACTGTGCTGACCATCTTGGAGTTCAATAGCCATGCAGTGAAATCAAATTTACTACAGATTTAAGAAATGTGGCTGAGCTGGTACCAGTTCCATCAGTGACCAGCAGCACAGCCCAGGGCAAAGGAGTTCTCATCAGTGACTGGGGCCACACCCATGCCAGGGAAGTCAACGAGACAAGCATGCGGTGCACTCCTTTAGTTCCAGCACTCAGGAGGCAGAAGCAGGCCAATCTCTATGAGTTCGAGGCCACCCTGGTCTACAAAGTGAGTTCCAGGGCAGCCAAACCTGTTACACAGAGAAACCCTGTCTTGAAAAACAAACCAACCAAAACAAAAACTGCTACCATGATGTATGGCCTCATTTGTCCATGTAAATTGCTAGAAAGGTTCATCATCACAGTGGTTTGTACCCATGCATGTCAGTACCTCTGAGGGGAAGCCGTTTGATTTCATTCTAGGATGCATGAAACTGGGATGCAGAAGCATCCTGACTTGTTCGGGGCTGGTGGTCATTTAGGCGGCAGTCCATCTGTTTGTGAAAAGCTCTGCCTGTCATTAGATGCCCAGATCTGGTGGGGAAAGTGTGTTTAAGAGTCTAGAAACCCTGTCTCAAAAAGGGGGTGGTGGTGCTAGACCTACCATATCCATCTTGAGTCTCCCTGTGAGCCAGGGGAAGGGGAGACAGCTGCCGACCAAGTGATACCCACATGCATGGCACTGTGCCACTCCGCATGCTTGACTCGTTGACTTCCCTGGCATGGGTGTGGCCCCAGTCACTGATGAGAACTCCTTTGCCCTGGGCTGTGCTGCTGGTCACTGATGGAACTGGTACCAGTGTCTGGGCCTTCCAGCTCCTGGACCAGCTAGACAGGACCTGGTGGCTCTAGGGAGAGTAGTCAGGGCCAAGAAAGCCACACAACACTGTTCTTATTCTGCAGAGCAGGGTCTTACAGAAGGGACCCCTCCCTTGGTGACAGGCTTAAATTGTCAGTGGTCATCTGTGTATTTGGCTTCCTTGATACCAAACAGACTGCCACTGGCACTCAGAAACTGTCCTTGTTAATTGGTAGCTCTCAGCTCCATCCCTGGCCTGGCCCACAGTCAGGATCTGTCTTGACAATGACAGTGTGTTCTTGCAGCATCTCGGGTTGACTCACCCTCCGTCTGCAGACTTGCTGGCCATTTGGGAAATGAGGCAGAGGCGTTGAGATGGGGAGGTGTCAGATTGTCACTGAGACATTTCTAATTTGTGATGTGTGGCTTTGAAGCCAACTCTTTCCTCCTGCTTTTCCTGTTCTTTGCAGCACCCCTTGGGGAAAGACATTTTCTGCTCCCGCCAAGTTGGCAAGGCCTGCTTCCCAAGCCTTCTGGGTGGCGTGACTACTGGGCCCAGCACCTCCTGAAAGCCCCACTCTCTCCTCCTGAGGGCACACTGGGAGGATCATGGGAGAGGCAGAAGGGAAGAAAGAGGACGCTGACTATAAGCGACTGCAGACCTTCCCCCTGGTCAGGGTAAGCCTGGGGAGGGAGTAAAGCAGCTACCCAGCCCCACAGCCTGCAGAGGGTGGAGCTTGGTGTGAGAAGGAAAGGGTTCTGCTGGCTCCAACCCCGACATCTAACAATCAGTGATTCATTCTTCATCCATTCATTCATTCACCAAGTTATGTTCAGGCCACCTGCTCTATGCCAGGCATGGTCTGGGCACTGTGGAAATGTGGCAAACAAGGCAGATGACACAATGGCGGGCAGTAAGTGCTATAAAGAAGAGCCGAGCTGGTACAGAGGCCAAGTCCTGGAAGAAGTCAGTCAGGCCAGTGACCCTCCTCAGGTTAGGTGGCAGGCCTTGCGAGAGCCCAAGGAAGGATCTGCTTCTCAAAGCAGCAGTAGGCACAGGGCACTGAGTGGGACAAGCTTGACGTCATCAACATAGCTGACTTGAGCCCTGAGGAGTGGCAGGATGAGGGTCAGAGTGACGGTGGGGTCAGTCGTGCTGGCCTGGCTGGCAGCCTGGGAGGAACATGGTCCAAGGGCCCAAGGAGCAGTGACGGGCAGTTGTTGTTGGTGACGTTGCCTCATGTTGCTAGAAAGTCACTCTTGCTGTGGTTAGGAGTGGACTCAGAGGAAGGGCTAAGACTGCCGTTGCCCGGTGACATAAGATGCGGTGGCCAGGCCCTGTAGTACGGGTGTGAGGTCGGCCCAGCCAGGCTGCCCACGGGGGTGGATCTGGGTGCCAGGAGAAGAAAGGCAAGGACGCCAGACAACCGAGTGAGGTCACCTGGGACATGGAGTCTGGAGCCCAAGGAGGGCACAAAGGCATGGGACCCTCCCTTGGAAGGCACAGCTGTGTGGAAGGACTTGGCTGCAGGGGGAGAGGATGGAGACTGACCCTGGCCTCCATATGGGAGGCGGAGGAACCTGGCAAAACCGCCTGAGAAAGGAGCCAAAGAACAGGAGGGAGCGGGGCCTCCAGGAGCGCCGGGCTCGGAAGGAGAGCCTGCTTCTTGTGCTAGGCCTGCCTCCCACACGTGCTCTCGCCCCAGCTGTAGGCCCCAGGCAGGGAGAAGTCACTTGCCCAGGACTGGGCCAGGGAAGCCTCCTAGTGCCTTAAGCGTAAGACCAAGAGGCTGGCCAGGAAGGCCAGGTCACAGGCTAAGCCTCTTTCTGTTTGTCACCCTGCCCTGTCTCTAGCACTCGGACATGCCAGAGGAGATGCGAGTGGAAACCATGGAACTTTGTGTCACAGCCTGTGAGAAATTCTCCAACAACAACGAGGTATTGCCATCAGTACAGGCGGCCCCTCGTGCCTCTGGTGATCCTGTGTGATAGGGTGGCTCCAGAACCCTGTGGCCAGTTCCAGAGTCCTGCCAGGACAAAGCTAGAGCCTTGCTTGGGAGTGGTCACTGTTCTGGAAGGCCAGTGAGAGAAGAGGTTGGTTCTAGCCAGGGTACCAAGGGCCACACCCAGCCCCAGAGGGAGGGTAGCCAGCAGGCCTCCATACCACCTCCACCCCCAGACTCAAGTGGGCTATTGGCTAGGGCATCTTTCTGGGCTCCATCCCAGCTGTGAGCACAGGGCTGTCAGGCATTCATCCATGAATTCATCTATCCATTCAGAAAGGGTGGAGTCCCAGCTTGGTGACAGGTGTTTTGCTCCAGGTTTTGGGAATTTGGCCACAGGTATCAGCCCAGCAGTGCCATTCGTGAGGCTGTGGTGAGAAAGAGGGTGATGGTGTGGCCACACCCCATCTGCAACATTCCCTCACTGAGTTCTCAAGACAAGCCATTTCTCAATTCTGAACCCAGAGCCCTAGTCTGTAGGCTAGGGCTGGTGGTGGTGCCTCTTTTCTGAACCACTGAGGTGGTGGGGACATGGTGCTCAGTGTCCCTAACCCTCTTCATGCTGAAGGAAGCTTTGGAAATGGCCTGCATGGGAAGTGGAATGTCATTGCTATGTCTGGGGTCTTTCTGGGACCAGTCGCACTCGCTGGTGACAAGCTTCCCTCAGGACCCACGCTGTGTCCTCACACTGAGCATCCTCAGGCCGTTATCCCTCTGGTCCCCACAGCATCTTTGGGCCCCATTTTTCTGGTTCACGGCTGAGGATGCTGACACTGGTCTGGAACTCAGAGTGACAGCCCTCAGCCCGGGCTTCTCGAGCCTCCGTCTCTTCCTGCTGTCACCAGTTCCTTCCTGATGAGGTGTCCAGGTGCTGTTCCCATGTCATAGCCCTGCAGGAGGTGCTATGCAGAGCTGTCTGTGGTGATCTTGCTGGCAAACTGGAGGCAGGCTGGGGCAGCAGCCATTTTTGCCTAGAGCTTAGCGCCAGGCCTCTCCCTCCTGGCTTGGACCTGTCACTGCCCCTGATTGGCATCTTCTCCCTTCCAGAGTGCTGCAAAGATGATCAAAGAGACAATGGACAAGAAGTTTGGCTCCTCCTGGCATGTGGTGATCGGCGAGGGCTTTGGGTTCGAGATCACCCATGAGGTGAAGAACCTCCTCTACCTGTACTTCGGGGGAACACTAGCGGTGTGTGTGTGGAAGTGCTCCTGACAGCGTCCCGCCGCTCTCCTGCCTCTCCTCTGGGCTGGGGAGCAGCCCTAGGCGAGCCTGGCTCCTGCAAGGAAAAATCAGTCTTTTATTTGTCCTTGTGTACCGGTTTCCTGAGCCACACCCAGCATTTGAATTCAGTGATATCTCCACTCCCAGGCTCTCCAGTGTCTCTCTGAGTCCTGAGCTGTGGACAGGCATCTCTGTGCATTGAGGGGTGGGATCATGGGACAGGTGAAGGGGGTGAGGTCATGGGATTTTTCTCCTTGGAATGGACTGGTCCCACCATTCATCCCAGGAACCCCAAAGCCCTTCTACCCGAAGGACTGCTGGGAAGTATCTCTTGCCCTTGTCATTAGTCGCTTTGTGGAAGCAGCCTAAGAAGAGGCCTCTCCTCTCATGAGACACAGGACACTTCTCTCCTTGTCATTTGGGAAGGGGGGGTTTCTCTTCCCTTCCCCAGCCTAACCCAGGACTGAACAGACCACCATTTCTTACTGGACCAGCAGTTCACAGCCCTGGCTTTGGCGTGAGAATCACAGTCTTCCCGTCCCCTTCTCCCAGCCCGGGCCACACAAACCTTTCATGCCACCTCCATCAACTCAGCTGCATGGCTGAGAGCTAGGGTCATGGTGTAGAGCGAGTTCTCAAGACGTTGCTGAACTCTGGTGAGACACGTAGGCCAGGAGTGCTCTCACCGTGAGGCCCCGTTAGCAGGGAAACCTGGCCTGCCAGGGACTTCATCAGGGACCGCATGCTGTTTGTACTTCTTACCTTGCTGGCTTTTCTAGATTCTTTTTGAGTGTGGGAAGAAGGGTTTTAGTAGAAGGGTGAATCATATTTTACACAGCGGTCTTATTTATATAAACGTCTTGGGTTTTACAATTAAAATGACTAAAAACTAAACTTAGTCTATGGTGTATTGAAGTTTCCTGGAACAAGGGCTGTGTTCTTCCCTACTGGGCCTGCGTGTCCAATTGCAGCAGATTTCCATTGGATCCCTGGACAATGATGCCAAAAAGACCGGTGCTCCCGGGAGGGGTGAGCGTGCTTGTGTATGTTTGTGTGTGTGTGTGTGTTCCTGCACAGGCCTGGAGAATTGTCACCAAAGCTATCTGGGCAGATGGGAGGAGCAGGAACTAGCCCTCCTGGACCAGGTAGGAGAGCTCCTCTGCCCCACTGGAGTTGCTCCAGAGAGATGGGCAGCACTGTGCATGGGACTGGAAGAAGTGGCCAGGTGGGTGTGCAGGAGGTGGTGGGGGCGCCAGTCTGGAGGAGCTGTGACTGATCACCGCCTGCCTTGCATCTGTTCGTTCCTTAATCTACCACACGTGGGTGTGGGTGGACAAGTGAGGCTGGCTTAGCAGCAGCCAAGGTGAAATAGTGGCTGGGATTATGGGCTCCAAGGTCCCCAGATCTGGTCCCTCTGTTATGTTCTAGGCCTCAGCAGCTTTGTCTATAGAGTGGGCATGACACTTGCCTCCAGAGGTCGTGTGGCCGCTGTCAGGTGGGTAGGTGATGGGGCCCCATAGCAGGGTACTTCCCTGGACAGTCCTCCTTTGTCTTCACCACAGTGTGTGAACGCATAATTATAGTTTAAGGGTGCAAGCTCAAAAGATGTCATTATAGCTAGAAATCAAGTGACCCCTCCGTGTTTCCCCCACATAAAATCATAGTTTTACTACTTCACGACCTCTGATAGTTAGCTTTAATTGTGGACACAACCTGGAACCACCTGGGAAGAGCCTCAGTGAGGGCCCGCCTGCATTGGGATGGCCTGTGGTGTCTGTGGGAAGACTCAGCCCACTGTGAGTGGCACCAATCCCAAGAAAAGGATCCAGAACTGTGCAAGACTGGAGAAACCGATGGGAGCTCAAGCGAGCGAGCGTGTCTGCTCTTGACCGCAGATGGGATGTGACCGGTTCCTTCACGCTCACTGTGACCTCCCCACGGCACTATAACCTGGAATTCAGACCTAAAATGAACCCTTTCTTGATTTTTCTGTCGGCTTAGTGCTCTGCCTGGTGAGCCCTGTGGTCTACGTTCCTGCACCGCTGCAGCCTCGATATGTAGGCTTAAGCTAAGTGTCTATCATTCAATTCACCAACAAAAGACTCGGAAGTCAGAAGCAGGGGTGAAACCCTGCTAGATCAGAGGAACCCAGAACCAGCTGACCTTGCTTTTTGGCTGGAGACCCAGCAAGAAACACATCTCTTCACTTGCCCCCAAACCAAAAAGACCCACCAAATCCCAGTCCCCAACCTTTCCTTCCTGTGTGTCTGTCTATCCAAATTGCTGGCTTCTCTATGGCTAATTCCGATCACCTAGCTGCTGGCTCCACCCCCTGATTCGAGGTAAACTTTACTGATAGTCTTGGAGTGTGACAGTGTGACCAAAATATCTGCAACACTTTGTCCCCTAATTTTTTTCAGGATATTTTATCATGGCAACAGAAATGAAACTAGGACATCCCCAACCTTAGCTTTTGTTCAGTACAAGCTAAGCACGGTGTGCATAGAAAAGATGTGTCGTAATCATTTCTGCACACAAAGGAAGTATTTAGTATAATTACTTCCATGGCTCAGCTAACATGCAACACAAATGACTCCAAAACTATCATGTGATGCAACTGAAAAGCCACAATCTCGTCACAAATCCCCTTCCTAAATTACACAGAGCATACAACGGGAGGTGTTCAGTGGAGCGCTTGCTGCCCAAGGCTGAGGACCTGAGCCTGACCCCCGCACCTGCGCAGAAGGCCAGGCGTGGCAGCACGCTCCTGTAACCCCTGAGCTGGAAGGGCTGAGACAGGAGGACCCCTGGGGCTCTCTGGCCACCCAGTCTAGCCACGTTAGCAAATTTCAGGGACTCTGTCCCAAATCATGAAGTGGGTGGGGGTAGGTTCAATGGCTGAGTGGGTAGTCACCTGCAGCCAAGCCTGATGACCCGAGCTCAATCTGTAGGACCCACATGGTGGGTCAGACAACTGTCTCATAAATTTCCTTGACCTCTGTACACTCTGTGGCATGCACACACCCAGAATGAATAAACAAAAATGTAACAAGGTGGAGAGCAATTGAGGAAGACTCAGAATGTCAGCCTCTGGCATACACACACACACACACACACACACACACACACACACACACACACACACAGATGCCGTACACCATGGTCATGTTTGCTTCTCAGTCAGGTAGATACCCCAGTCCACCTCAGTACAAAAACAACTATCAGATGCCAGTTTGAAGGGAGCAGAGATAAATCATTAAAGGAGTGTTTTTTCCCCCTTTTGTTTTTTTTGTTGTTGTTTTTGTTTTTTTGGTTTTTTTTTGAGACAGGGTTTCTCTGTATTGTTTTTGGAGGCTGTCCTGGAACTCGCTCCGTAGACCAGGCTGGCCTCAAACTCACAGAGATCCACCTGCCTCTGCCTCCCTAGTGCTGGGATTAAAGGCATGTGCAACCAACGCTCGGCAGGAGTGGTTCTTGACAGACAGCTGGATGTGGTCATTGCAATTGGGTCTGTGTTTACCTTCCTCAATGTACCAACTTCTGTACATTGTCAGCACCCAGCAAGGTCCACCAGCCTCTAAGGACTACATCAGGTTAAATTCAATGCAGCATTTGGAAAAGGAACTAGGAAATCAGAAACCCAAATCTAAAGAATGATGAATGTCACCAGGCAGTGGTGGCACAAGCCTTTAATCCCAACACCCAGGAAGCAGAGGTAGGTGGAGCTCTGTGAATTTGAGGCAACCCTGCTCTCTAAAGTGAGTTCCAGGACAGCCAGTGCTATTACACATAGAAACCATAAAAATAAAAAAATAACCAGGCGGTGGTGTCACATGCCTTTAATCCCAGCACTGGGGGGGGGGGGCAGAGGCAGGTAGATCCCTGTGAGTTCGAGACCAGCCTGATCTACAAGAGCTAGTTCCAAGACAGTCTCCAAAGCCACAGAGGAACCCTGTCTTGAAAAAACAAAAACAAACTCACAGAGGACATCTTGTGGCTCAGGTGAGGGTCTCACTGTGTGCTATAACTCAGGAATGCAGCAGAGTGGTGTAGACCCCCCCTGCCGTGTTGACACCTCTCCAGTCATTCTGTGTCCCCCTGTGCCTTGTCATGTCCCACCAAGGCATGGGCACCTGCTGTGCCTTAGCCACTCCATGACCGAGGAGTGCAGAGACTGCCCACAGAGCTTCACACACATCGCAATGCACAGGCAAGCCGCATGTGGCTCTTCAGTAGGGGAGGGCATTTACAAGGCCCTGGGGAGTGAGGAGGATCCCAGGTTTTCAGTCAAAGATGCGATCAGTAGGGAGTGGGCAGAGCCGTGACCTGCTGGGTGACACTAACGTTTTGGACAGAAGGAAGGAACCTGGAGCAGTGGGCAATGTGTCCTACAAGGCAGCAAGGCCACAGAGTAGGGACTGGGAGCTTGGGCCTTGTCTCCCAGCTTTGAGGGTCTGAGGGGGAACACAAGGGAGCCAGGCCAGTAAGAAATCTGCTCTGCTAACCAAAAATGGGTCTGGGCTGCAAGCCATGCTGCAAGGCATGGGAGAGCAGCGGCCCCTTCACTCAAGTCTGTCCTCATACCCTGAGCCTGCTGACCGGGGTATAATCCCCTCACCCAAAGTCCCCCATTGCACTGCATAGCAGAAGCTTTCCATCCTGGTTTGCAAGAGCCAGGTACCTTCCTCTCTTCCTAGGGCCAGAGGCCTGGTGTCCCAGGACTTTCAGGACATGAGCCATACCAAGTCCATGCCCTGGGACATCAGCCCCCAGTCCCACTCATCACCCAGGGTGAGCTGGACCCATCTGGGCCCGCTGTGACAGAAAGAGAAGCTCCTGCTGTCAAGTAAGTGCAGGCCCACCTTGCATCCCTCAGGAGGTTCTCCAGTCCTGCCCCAGCTGTCCTGCTCACTGTGGAAAATCCATCTACTGCTCAGCTTTCTGCTGGTGCAGGGCGACCTCCTGTGGCCATACATGGACACAGCATGGCTAGCAGTGCCATCTGGAGAATCCCGGGAGGAGTGGAGTGCCCGCCACTGACTGGCTCATCAGGCCAAAAAGGAAAAAACGATATAGCAGGGTTTTTTGTTGTTTTGTTTTTTTAAGACAGGGTTTCTCTGTGTAACAGCTTTGGATGTCCTGGAACTCGCTTTGTAGACCAAGCTGGCCTCAAACTCCCATAATGCAGGGATTATAGGTAAGTGTGACCACTTGCCCATATAGTGGTTTTGAGTCAGCCAGAACCTGACTTCTTTTTGTTTGTTTTTGGTTTTTCGAGACAGGGTTTCTCTGTAGCTTTGGAGGCTGTCGAACTCAAGGAGATCCACCTGCCTGCCTCTGCCTCCCCAGTGCTGGGATTAAAGGCGTGCGCCACCACGGCCTGACCAGAACCTGACTTCTGCTCTTCATTCACAAACATTTATTGAGCACTTCCTGTATGCTCTACTGACCTAGGTACTGAGGCATAAGCAGCCTCCTAGGTCGTCCCCACCCTCCCTGGGGCTACAGGTCAGCCAGGCCTCAGAGCCTACGGTGCTGGTTCAGCATCTCCAAAGGCTCTCTTCAGTGGGATCCAGTGACGTGGCTGGCCTAGCACCACCGCCTCCTCTCCTCACTCAGGCACACACCTTCTTCCTGAGGGCCATCACAAGGGCTGCAAATGCAATGCATGAGCACCTTCCTCCAGGGTCAGCCCCAGGAGATCATTTGAGTGACCAAGTGATGACGTCTGGTGGCACAAGGCCCCACCCCCAGGTTCACTGGGCTCTTTGCTTAGCTTTGCCCAGGATGGGGCGATCCTGGGCTGTCTGAGTAAATGCTGCTCCCACAAGCCCCACAGGTCACATGAGCATGAGTGCCTTGGCTAGGGACAGCAGGCAGGGCCATTGTCTCAG